GGTCACTTGCATAGGTTATGGCATATGCCACTTGCGTAGGTTACGCCGTAGGTCACTTGCATAGGTTATGGCATATGCCACTTGCGTAGGTTACGGCATAGGCTGGACGCAGGAGTATATATCAGCCTACAGGGGGAATATCCACATTGTATTCAGTGGCGTTCGGCCTCGTCACCCTGTAGCTGCCCCTCATCTTTATTTTACCTTGTCAAAATAACATGGGTTGTAGGGCAGGAAGATAAACAGCACAGATTAAATGAATGGGACCAGAATAATGTTTGTGAATGAAGACCAACACGTATTGAGCAGACAGCTCTGATTTCTTTCTAGAAATGGGGAAACATCTCAATGGTGAGACCTGCTGTGGAGCCAGAGAATGATACCAAAGCACTAAGTAACACACTCACGGATCTTCTTAACCAGGGACCCCTGTATGCACTTCCGGAATGTTCAAGGTTGTGCAGGTTCACACACGGCTGAACAGACTCCACATTAGAACATCAGTTGAACCACCTTGTATCTCCTTTAATGTCCAGCTGTTGTCCCAGGACTTGTCATGGACTTTGGTGTCTCCCTCAGTCTCTCCTGTCTTTTTAAACAGACAGAGGAAAGGTCAGACCGTCAATCTGCCTGATCTGTTCTCTGTAACATTGGACCAATTGTTACTCAGTTTGTTGAGATAGATAGTGCAGACGTGCCTGTGGATCTTCACTGTCTCCATGTTTTCTCACGACTCTCCCATTGTCTCCCAGACAGTGTCACACACAGCCTCCATGGAGAGGGCTTCACCTTCCACAGCACTTTAGAGCTGTTCTGAGTTTTTCGATGTTAATGCAGATGCAATGATGTTTCTGTCAGCAGCCTGTCAAGTTTTGCACTCATCAGCAGTGCTCGTAATAAGGCCCTTGGAGTGTACAAGCTGAGGCTGGGATTAAATCAATAATTCCTATGTGCTGCCAGAGCAAGGGACTGTGGGAGTGTGCCTGTTTGAGTTTCAGCAGTCGCCAATTAGGCGTTATTAAATATAAACGATGCCTCATTGATAATTATGCAGCTGACCCAGCAGACCAGTGTGTGATTGAGAGCTGAAGGCCGGCTCTAGCGCGACGTTTGGTTTGGAGATGAGTGAAAAGGTCACACACGCCATGGTCTGCAAAGATCTCCTGCCAAGTAAATGAGTGTTACGTTTGAAAACATTTATATTAAAGGAATAAAGTAAATTCTAAAGTATCAGTGTAGAAAATAAACACAAGCAGCACTGGCAAAAGGCTCTCTGTAAATAGTTCAATAAAAGAAACAGCCTGACTAAAACTAGGCCACAATGTTTCTTTTCTGAAAACTCCATTTAATGGTTTCTGTGCATTCAAATGACACATTAACAGCATAAACTGCCGCTCCTCTGTGCTCCTCACTGGGGACAGATCAAGTCAGATGTGGGAGAGGAGACTACAGGACAAATGGCTTCACGTAAATGGTCACCATGCAAAGCATCACCAGATGTGTTCTGGTCATTTCTGTAATTCTATGCATGGTTATAAAGCTACATAAGAAGTACATCAGTGTTATGAAGGAGAAGACGGCAGTTATTACCTGTGGGTCTTTCTGCCCAGAGTTCTCTCCTAAGCCCTCTCCTAAACGTCACTGGTATATATGTACCCCATGATTTACTGGCATCTCGTCCAGGGTTGCCCCTGCTCGGTGCCCTGTGATGGACTGGCATCCCGTCCAGGGTGGCCCCTGCATTGTGCCCTGTGATGGACTGGCATCCCGTCCAGAGCTGAGCTGTCAGGAGGCTCTTCTGTCACTTTAGTTTTGAAAAGGTACTCGCAGAAGTAGCTAGGAAGCCTGCCTTGGTGTAGTCATGAACTGGATTAGATGGAGAAGCTCCATTACAGGGGTAACCCGACGTCCTCTAAAGGGTGTGTAACTGTCAGGGGGCTGACGCATCTCAAAGTGCAACATATGTTACTATTTGTTCTTGATGGTGCCCCCAGAGTTTGTTTGGGGAACAGAGAAGGTTCACAGATCCTGCTGTTTATGTTATTTAATGACAGACATACAGCACTGGCCATATTCCAGAAAAAGATAATGTAAAAATGATTAAAGGACTATTGAGATCTTTAATTATGATATGATATGAGTTTTAGTGGTAGACATTACACATACAGCACTGCTTTGCTGACCCAGTTAAGTCTTGAAAAGTGCTTTCATATGACCTGTATTGAGAGTGTTTTGCTGTGCTAGTGCAGGTTTTCATCAAAAAAGTGTGGTGTCCATCCTTAGTTTCAGAGCTCTAGATGAAATGTGCTTTCTGGTGTGAGAGGGTAGCCTTAATGTTGGGCAGCATTGCTGCCCCTGGAATCTTCGGCCTCCTTTGTGGGCCTCTGTCTTCACCTCACTTCTTTCCTTGTAACCTTGTGAGTCCTGATAAGTGGCCTGCCGCTCAGGAGCTCACAAGACTGATCTGGACCTCCCTGCAGAGGGAGAGCCTGCCCTGGGTCTCCCAGTGGGCGGAGAGCCTGACCTGGTCCTTACAGCGGATGGAGAGCCTGACCTGGACTTCCCCGTGGTTACGATCCCTGTAGACAAACAGCCTGGGCAGTTTGGGTGTGCAGCTTGTGTCATCAGCTTCTAGAAGCCGGCACTAATCGCTAGCAGAGGGACAGGCAGGCTCACTGATGTACGTCTACCATAAATCTGCCTAAAGTGGCTGCAGAAAGCAAGATGTCCAGGTGATCCTTCACTGTGAGGCGTTCCCCATCACCGGTCATGGAGTGTACGGCAGGCCATTTAGGGACGCACCTGCACAACCTTCTCATGTTTTAACTGGAACCTTTATTTTTTAATTTTGTATTGTGGTGGTGATATGTGGAAAGTGTTCTTGAGCGCTCTCATCACCCCTTAATATATCATCCAGTATATACTGTATATTGATACCTCGTCCCTCTCTGGATTGCCCCAGCTCTCCTGGCTCCTCCTACCACTCCAGATTGCCCAAGCTCTCCTGGCCCCTCCTCCTACTCCGAATTGCCCCAGCTCTCCTGGCCCCTCCTCCCATTCCAGTCCTCTCCAGTTCTCCTTGCCCCTCCTCCAGCTCCAGTCTGCCCTGGCTCTGGTCCTCCAGTCCTGGTTGCTATGCAGTCTCCCTTACCCTCTCACATACTCATAACATGGTGTTGTAGACCTAGCACCATCTTTAACCATAGATTTATACCCAGGCAGGCCTCACAGTAGCAAGTTGTCTGTGTTGGTCTTAGTGAATATGAGAAGAACATGTTTGGTCCACGGAGAATATTGTAATGCCTCGCTGTCATCAGTCTGATGGGAAGTTTGTACACACAAGCCCCTTAAGAATAAAGAGCTCCTTCTATGTGGAGATACTTCACAAAAACAGCACTTTTAAGCAACATTTCAGGTTCTGTTTCATTATAGACTCCAAAAAAATCATACCTGCTTTCAGTTGTCAAATGCTGCAGCCGAAAGCTTTCCTTATGGTTATCTGTGGCGTAAAACCAGCCCATAACCCTGTTCGCCATTACTTCTCTGCTTCAGCTCTTGTTTGCCTGCTGTCGCTCCTATGCGCTCATCAGGAGTGACTGCTTGTGCTTCTGCCTGGTGCTGAAATACCACCATTCCCAGTAATTCCTTTTTTTCCAGCCACATGAGTATTGCCATGGTGACGGGATTTCTCTCTTTATGCTTGCACAAGGATGTGTATATGGGAATCCTCCAGCGTAAGATCTGTGTGAGTCTGGTTTTGTGTGTGTGTCTGTGTGTATGTTTGTGTGTGTCTGTATGTATCTATGTGCATCTATGTGTGTGTATATGTGTGTGTGTGTCTGTGTGTCTTTGTGTGTGTATGTGTCTGTGTGTGCATTTATATGTGTGTGTGTGTGAGTGTGTGTGTGTGTGTATGTGTCTGTGTGTGCATTTACATGTGTGTATCTGTGTGTGTGTATGTGTGTGTGTGTGTATGTGTCTGTGTCCGCATTTACATGTGTGTATCTGTGTGTGTGTGTGTGTGCTCCTCCATCTCCATTGAACATTCGGGGACAGGACTGAGCAGCGACTTTGTGCCGCGATACTTGGTAAGCTGTGTGAATCTGCACCAAGCTGCTAATCACCGATGGTAACACTGTGATCACACTCATTCCCTCCGGGGAGGGGGAGAGGGGGGCTAAGGGCTCAGCTCCTTGCTGCTCTTTGTGTCTCTGGGGCCTGGTGTATAGCCGGGCAGATAGATGTGTCTCTGTTTGTCCTGTAGTTCAGATTGGCTGTTTTTTTCTCCTACGCATGGACAATACTATGGGGATTCCACGGTATGGCGCATTGCATGGTCAGGGAATCCCTTTGCAGGGAATCCCTTTGCAGAAACCGTCTGCTTACTGATACTGCGTTGGCTTCTGCTCCTTTTGGAAATGTCTCGTACTTTTAAAGCTAAGGAGATGAGCTCTCTTGTCCCTGTCTCCTAAGTGCCCTGTAGCCTCGTTCCAGCTAGCAGCAGCTTCTTAGTGAGCCTGACAGTTGCTTTTCCTCAAGTCTATGTAGGACTGCTCAAGCACTGAGACGTGTCCACCACACACCTCAACTCTGACGGAGCGACTGGACCATTCAAGTTGTATTTTCCTGTTTTGCAGGTGATCGCGCCACAAGAGAGTGACCGATGCCCAGATCCGTGAGGCAGGGACGGCATCGACCATGACCCGGCTGATGTTGGGTCGAACCCTAGAGCGTATTTGCAAGGCCGTCCTGCTGTTATGCCTCGTACATTTCCTCATCATGATGATCCTCTACTTTGACGTCTACAGCCAGCGCTTTGACATCTTCAGTCGCTTCAACAATGGCCGTAACTTGTCCCGGGCCCAGCATTTCTATAACCTCTCTCGGCCCAATGCCACTTTTGCGGGTTACCTGTCCACTACTGATCACCTGCTCGCCAGCGTCCGGCCCGAGGCTAACGCCACACCTACTGCCAAACCTATGCCGCCATGCCCAGAGATGCCGCCTGGCCTGGGTGAGTTTCCCCAACTCTTTGGATCATTATGGAACCTTTTCTGTTTATCATGTGTGAGCTAACAGAGAGTAGATTATGTAATGGAGTCAGATTATGACACCAATCACAGCGTAGACACACATACTGTGGACACCAATCACAGCGTAGACACACATACTGTGGACACCAATCACAGCAGAGACACACATACCGTGGATGCCAATCACAGCGTAGACACACATACTGTGGACACAAATCACAGCATAGATACACATACCGTGGACACCAATCACAGTATAGACACACATACTGTGGACACCAATCTCAGCGTAGACGCTCATACCGTGGGCACCAGTCACAGTGTAGACGCACATACGGTGGACACCAATCACGACGTGGAGGCACATACCACAGATGCCAATTCTGACATGGATGAGTGCACTGCGGACACCAGTCACAGCGTGGATGCGCACGGCGTGATACTCAAGCGCTGATGGAGTTGCCACTATTTCGATACCGTATTCTTGTGGTATCCAGCACAGATGCCTTTCAGAGCTGTGAAAGTGGCTTATTGGTGCACCTGTGACTGCTCAGTTAGCCTAAGCGATATTAGCCTTAATCTGCTTGATGAGGGAGCTCACTGCTGGGACCAAAGATGGCTGATGATTGCGATGTCACTGAAAAGCGTTTTCTGTCATAATGAGACAGAGCGGATAATGAATACCCTGTAATGTCATCTGATATGCCTGTGAGCAGGACCCTTTGGCTTTCATATCCTCCTAATTAGCTTTAAGTAGACCTCGCGGGAGCAAAGCTCATCTCTCATGACCCCACCTTCTCTGCTGAAGCTGACTTTGCACTGCAGTTGTCTGGATGTGTGGTGGACTTGCATCAGCACTTTTTGGTAGTTTGAATCTGGAAAGGGGTGTTTATGAAGCTCCAGCTTGAAAAGACCCATAGGTCCATTGCGGGTTGCTGTGGGCTGGGCCAGCGCTGCCCAGTAAGACTGTAAAGCTAATGCAGCACATTAGCATTTTGCTGTGATCTGGAGAATATCTTAGCTCGTGTTCCTGGATAAGTGACAGGTGGTCGAGAGGTTATCAGCAATCGGGCAAATAGCTGCTTAAGTGTTGTTTACGGGCCTTGATTTAAATGGGGGCTGGGAGCAGTTTCTGCTTTGGCTGCCGATCAGCTTGGGAAATTAAAAAACCTTAGCGATTTAGCTGCTAATACTGTCAGAAAATGAAATGTCACCTACGGTACAGTCTGCTTCATGATGAATACGCTTCATGCCCCTATAACTAAAGCGACTGGCTTCTGTCCTTGACCGTTAAATGTCTTGGCACAGGCACATTTTGTGTGAGTAGGAGAGAGTCAGAGCACTGGCTACCGGGCATGTCATTGTTGGCATTGTTGGCTAGCTAGCTACTTTGCAAAAAGAGTTATGGATATAAGTAGCTTTTTTAAAAAGAAAGGGGCTTGGAGGTGCGGGCGAGGGTGGAGGACGTGCAGGAGGAGTTATCTCCTGTTGTGGTAGCAGCTTCATCTGCAGGCTCAGGTTGGTGAAGAACAAGGCTCGCTCGCTAGCTGGTGTAGCTCAGTGGTTCTCAAATGTTTTTGAAACACGACTCACCATTTATGAAAACAAGTATTTCCAAGGCGCACCTTTACATGTAAAACATCGTAAGACTAATTTCACAACACACCAGGCCAGTTCCTAAGGCACAACAGTGTGCGACGGATTGAGAACCGCTGGTTTAGCTAGGAGGGATGCACCAGAATACAAATACATTATTCACAAACACACAAATAATGCTGTAAACATATTTTTTCCACCCAAAGTAATGTGCTATTATTCGGCTCAATGAGTGACATGTCTATGTTTCTTCAAATCGATTCATATCATTGTGGATGACCACAAGATATAAATGATTTCACTACCTACTCATTTCTTTTACTACAAATTATTTAAAAGAGATTGCAGTATTCTGTAGTCGACCTACCAAGCCTGGGACTGGGCTTAGAGGTGACCTTCCCCGGCGGTCACTGTCATCTGGAGAATATCTTCAGGGGAAAGAGGGGAAGGGGTGGCATTGTCATTTGCAAATTTTGTGCAAATCGCTATACAAACCCCAACCCCTAAACCCGAACATCACATTTTGGCTGTATGTGTTAATTCCAGCCATTATAGACAAAACAGACAATATATTGGAGGAGAAAAAACGTTTGGTACAACGTCCTGTATTTTAGTTAATATTCATCCGTTTAAGATGTAACATCCCGTATGTATCAGCTCATGGAGAAAATGATTTAAAGACTGCTACTAATAAAGCTTCATAATGAGTGCTGGCAACATACTGCTTCATCAATGTCAAGGCTGTTTTTCTGAGGGTTTCACTCTTGTTGCTGAAAATAAAAAGTAATGAAGTTGACTGAGAACTCGGATTGCCATCATTCTGTTTATTTTGAATTCATGTTGTGAAAACCAGCCTATACTACCAGCAATGTCACACTTGTTCCCTGGAATGAGCAGCGAGGCAGTCAGAGAAAAAACCCAGCAATTGCTTCCTCTCTGTGTTCGGAGCCGGTGCCGGTTCCCCAGCCGCTGGGCCCAAACCCAGGGGTCCTATGCTTAGCTCTGTGTAACCGTATAACTAAAGCGACTGGCTTCTGCTTCTCCTTCCTCAGTATGAACTGTCCGGAGTCTGTAGCCTCTAAGAGGATCACTTCCTCTTTGTGTTCGGAGCCAGTGCCGGTTCCCCAGCCGCTGGGCCCAAACCCAGGGGTCCTATGCTTAGCTTTTTAATCTTGCTGTCTTCCTCAGGTTCCTACCTTGACCAATGAGAGCATCACGCTAATCATCTTCTGCATTATTGATCTCCTTTTGTCTTAGTCCTGTCGTTTTCACCGATGGATGTGCTCAGTCCTTTCATTAAGCTGCCCCTACGCAAATGAACCGAAGTGCAAAACATAGTTTATCACATAATGGGAAGGTTCAATTCACTTGACTTTACTGAATGATTGAGTCACAGTCACTGTTTCACAGGCAAGCATTTTTTTTGACAGAGACCAACAAGCAAATGAAGGTCTGACACCAGGCTCTCATTGTGTGTCCTCTTTCTGAGGTTAAAGGCTTAGATTCTGCTAGCTTTTTCCCGCTGTGTACTTGGTTATCTTTCTTAACTAAAAGTCCTTACAGTTTTCCTACTCTGCTACAAAATCCATGCACTTCATTTCTCCTTTTGTTATTTGTAAGTAATTGAAGGTATTGGAAATCATTAACTAGAAGAATTGTTAAGTATTTTTGAAACCTGTGAGCTATTTAAAGGACTGATAATTGGGTTTTTTTTATTTGGGGAAAAGTTAAATGTCTAGTGCAATTAACTTTCATTATATCTCTTGACTTAATTGGGAAGCCCATTTCATTAGTATCTCACACACGGCCTATGTGTAAATGCACAACACTCCAGTCTATAACGGAATTCTTCGGCCAGGATCAGCTGTTTACCCTTTGTTAAAGATTATCATCTAACCCAGTAATCGTCCTACTTGTACAGGGAAAATTCACTGAGTTGGGAGCATCATTTCACAGATGAAATGAAGAGGATCTAAAATGTCTGGCCTCCATTATTCCTCACGCAGTCAGACAGACATCGAGCATGTTGCTTTGCTCAGGTGGACAATAGTGTGACATCAGCTTCTGCTTGGCTTTTGTTCTCTGAAAAATCAAGGTGAAGACATTCTGCACCATGAGTCCTATGCTTACTGACCCAAAGTTCCCCATGTTTTATTCAGGCTCTTCTTTGTGGCAAGGGAATGCATGGGTTTACACACACTTTTTCTTCTGGTCTTGAGCTGGTCTTAGCCACACCAATATGAAAAATTTCAGTCCTCAGTTTGCTGCTTTAATTACTCATTTCTGGCAGAATGAAAGACCTTCTTCCTTTGATGGAAGCATGTAGGCTGGCTGCTGCTCCTTTAGTCTGCTGTCCTGCGATGGCACAGTTCAGTACCAAGCAGACGCAACACCGCTACAAAGTCTTGTCTGGTTGACATGCGGTTCCTGGACTGGCTCCATGCTGGCCGGTGCAGGATCTTCCAGCAGCAGGACTGCATTCCTGTTGGCTATCAGATGCTGCTGCTGTTGTTTTTAGTTTTTTGCCTTCCCTCCAAGTTTCTTCCAGTCCTTCACGTTGGCAATAACCAGTGAGGTGAAGAAATCAGTTCCTTCATCTCTGGCAAACAGATGGGCCTTGCTCTGATTTTTATTTGAATATTTCCAGAAAATCCTGCCTGGAGCCAATAGATTTCTGTATTGTCATTCACTCAGCAGATGCTCATTTCAGAATGCTCACATTCTGCTGGATTCCTGCCCACATGGTACAGAAAGATGTCTGCCCACTCCAGATTATATCTCTTCCATAATAACGCACTGTTGTCTGCAGTGGATGTGCAACTGCCCTAAGAGCACATAAGTGCACACTCACAGCACAACTGTCGAGACCTGAGTCTGTATCATTGTTCATTGTGTTATATCCGTCTGTGACATGTGTTGATTGTCCGGATCTTTGTTCGTTGTGCTGGATCCATCTGTAATGTGTGTCAACTTGATCATTGTTCATTGTGTTAGATCCGTCTGAAATACGTGTCAACTGTCTGGATTGTTGTTCATTGTGTTGGATCCAGCTGTAAGGTGTGTCAACTGTCTGAATTGTTGTTCATTGTGTTGGATCTGTCTGAAATGCATGCTGACTGTCTGGATTATAGCTTGTCAGCTGTCTGCTTTGCTTGGTATTCCTGTTACAGGAGAAGTTTCTGGATCTTTGTTTATATTTTTCATGAGGGTCATTTGAATCACACTTAGTCTGGCCCGTCACCTAAGACCAATCTCACAGCATATGTGGAGTATATACTCAGATGATGTTCACAGTGTATACTCCACCTCAGATGATGCTCACAGCATATACTCCACCTCAGATGATGCTCACAATGTATACTCCACCTCAGATGATGTTCATACC